AAACATACACAATTATTGTTGAGGTTGCCAAAAAATTGGCAAGCCTAATTTAGGCCTCAAACCAAACTGACCCATAGTTGTTTTGGGCCTATAGGCCCATAGAAGACACGTGAACGACGGAGCTTTCTCGGGTCTATGCTCCCCTGCTTGTCTGTAAGAGCGACCGCGGTGTTCTTCCATTCCTAGCTTTACGCGCAAGCCGAAAAAGATCATATCATTACTGAATAACGGAGCAAGATGATTTGGAAACAAAAAAGAGGTGATCCATGTCGTGTTGGAGATCGATCTTGCTCAAGGAGGTGATCCATGGGCCATGGCAGCTGGCACGATGGCCATGGGTGGCATCCGGTGTCCCGTCTGCTTCGCCGCCATGGCCGCCGGCCAAGCCATCTTCACCGCCGAGTGCTCCCACACCTTCCACCTCCGCTGCGTCCCCGGCGGCGCCGCCGCCTGCCCCGTCTGCGCCACGCCATGGCGCGACGCCCCGTCGCCGCTCACGACCTCCTCCATCCCCGCCGCGTACGACGACGACGACCCGGTGGAGCCGGTGGCGACGGCGGCGCGCAACAGCAGCGGCGGCGGCGGCGGCGTGCTGGTGCTCAAGACGCACTGCGAGTACCCGGCGCTCTCGCGCGGCGCCGCGCGCGACGGCTTCGCCGTGCTGGTGCACGCCAAGGCGCCCGCGGCGGCGGCCGAGGCGGCGGGGCGCGCGCCGCTGGACCTGGTCACGGTGCTCGACGTCAGCACGAGCATGACCGGGGACAAGCTGGCGCTGGTGAAGCGCGCCATGGGGTTCGTCATCGACAGCCTCGGCGCCGCCGACCGCCTCAGCGTCGTCGCCTTCGCCACGCCGACGCGCGCCGGGTGCTCCGCGGCTCCGCCTGACGCGCATGTCGGAGGACGGGAAGGCGACGGCCAAGCGCGCGGTGGACGCCCTCGTCGCGAACGGGAACACCAACATCCGCGACGGCCTCGACGTGGACGCCAAGGTGCTCGACGGCCGCCGCCACACCGACGCCGTCGCCAGCGTCATCCTCCTCTCCGACGGCCAAGACAACCAGACCATGGGTTACCGTGGCCGCTTCCACATGACGGATTTCAAGGCAGCGGCGACCAGCTACGACGTCCTCGTGCCGCCGTCTTTCACGCGCGCCGGCGGCGGCGAGCGGTGCGCGCCGGTGCACGCGTTCGGGTTCGGCACCGACCACGACGCGGCGGCCATGCACAGCATCTCGGAGATCACGGGTGGCACCTTCTCCTTCATCGAGAACCTCGCCGTCATCCAGGACACGTTCGCGCGGTGCATCGGCGGGCTCCTCTCCGTCGCCGCGCAGAATGCGCGCATCTCCGTCGAGTGCCTGGACCCCGGCGTGCGCGTCCGGGCGGTCAAGTCCGGCCGCTACGAGAGCCGCATCGACGCGGAGGGCCGCGCCGCCACGGTGGACGTCGGCGAGCTCTACGCCGACGAGGAGCGCCGCTTCCTGCTCCTCCTTGACGTGCCTCGAGCCGACGGCGACGCCGCCGTCGCCACGCGCCTCGCCAGCGTGCGCTGCACGTACCGGGACACGGCGACGGAGCAGTCGGTGGACGTGGCCGGCGAGGAAGACGCCGTGGTCCTCCGCCCCGCCGTCGCGACGGGCGTGGCGCCGTCCATGGAGGTTGAGCTTGAGCGCGAGCGCGTCCGCCTCGAGGCGGCGGACGACATCGCGCTGGCGCGCGCGGCGGCCGAGCGGGGCGCCTACGGCGAGGCGGCAAGGATCCTCGACGCGAGGCGGGAGGCGCTGAGCAGGTCGGCGCCGGCGGCGTCCGGCGACGCCATGTGCGCGGCGCTGGTGGCGGAGCTGCGGGAGCTGAGCGAGCGCGTGGCGGACGAGCGGGAGTACGCGCAGACGGGGCGCGCGTGCGTGCTCGCCGGCATGAGCTCGCACGGGCAGCAGCGCGCCTCGTCGGTGCAGCTAGGGGAGCTCCGTGTACGGGTGTTCGTCCGTGTTCGCGACACCGGAGATGCAGAGGATGGAGAAGCTCTCGGTGATTTTGCGTGAACAGCAGCAACAGGCGGCGCCTCCACCGCCGCCACCGCCGCCGACGGCGGCGGCGGCAAGCAAGTCCGGTGGTTCACTGAAGGCAAGGTTCGACGCGGCTGTACCTCGTATAATGTCGTTGAGGAAATACCGCCGTCTTCTGTCACTCAAACGCTGAAAACATAGGATGAGAGGGCAGCGGCAAGGTTTCGTTAAGTTGGATAATTTCCTGTTTTAATTTTTTTTTTCGAACTTAGTTTTTTAAAATAGTTTTATCCGAACTATTTAATATGCATTAGCTCACTTAGCATGGTGCCATGGTGTTACTAATAATATCGCTTGCGTTGAGAGAACAAATGGTAGAATGGTGGATGGATCATCATCCATCAGTTGTGTTTTGGAGCTGTTTTGTTGAATCTGTGGTGTCTGAGTATTTAGGGTGTGTTTAGTTCACGTTAAAATTTAAGGTTTGATTGAAATTGGAAGGATGTGACGAAAATGTTAAAAATTTATGTGTAGAAAAATTTTAATGTGATGAAAAAGCTAGAAATTTGAAGAAAAAATTAGGAACTAAACCACTTAGACAGATTATGCTTTACCTGTGCACGTCGAACTCCTCCGTTCTTTAACCGCATCGACCCGAACGGCTAGCAGCATGTCTATCGTGTGGCATAGGCACATAGCCGCAATACTCGGGGTCTGCTTTGATCCTGGTAAAATTTTATACCCTATCACATTAAATGTTTGGATATATGTATAGAGTATTAAATATAAATAAAAAATAATTAATTACACAAATTACGTGTAAATTGTGAGATGAATCTTTTAAGCCTAGTTGCGCTATGATTTGATAATGTGATGCTACAGTAAATATTTACTAATGACGGATTAATTAGGCTTAATAAATTTGTCTCGCGGTTTACAGATGGATTCTGTAATTTGTTTTGTTATTATACTATATTTAATATTTTAAATGTGTGTCCATATATCTAATGTGACATGCTAAAATTTTTCACCGTGGATTTAAACACGGTAAACCACCTCTGACATTGCTGGTTAAACCTAGGCGTGGTAACGAGCCTAATTTTTTTTCCTACAAGATGTAAGGGCTGCGTAAAAAGGATTTTGGCAAGACTAAAAAAATTAAAAGGCTGAGATAGTTGTGAAAAGAAAGGTCCATGGATCTGACCCATTACCACCCCTAGTTAAATCGCGAATTTTTTTCATTTTTAAATTTTTTTCTTTTAATATTTACAGAAATAATCTATCGGTGCAAAAAATTACAAAAATAGATCATGCCGCCCTAATGGAGGGTTTTCGACGGCGCCGTCTGCCGCCGTCTGTGAAAATTGCATTTAGCCCCTTGCCGCCCTTAATACAAAGGGCGGCAAGGGGCTAAATGCAATTTTCGCAGCTCAAAAGAGCATTTGGCTGGTACTTTTTGCATCTGGGTCCCTTGCCTCCCAACTAGAGGGCGGCAAGGGACCCAGATGCAAAAAGTACCAGCCAAAAAGTACTATGCCCGGGCTGGCTTTTTTGCATAGGGGCCCAAGGGTTTTCATGCAAAAAAACCCTCCCTCTCCCGTCTGCCGTCACCGCCCGTTCCTCCCCCGTTTGCCATGTCAGCTTGCCGCCCTAGTGGAGGGCGGCAGGGTCTATTTTTGTAATTTTTTGCGCCGATGGATTATTTCTGTAAATATTAAAAGAAAAAAATTTAAAAATGAAAAAAATCAGAAGTAACCAGTTCAAGTAATTGGTCCTCATCAACATGGGAGGAGGGCATGTTGTAATTGGTCTATACGCTCCTCCATCACTTCCCTAGTTCCCTGTGGCATAACCGGGAACCCGTTGGATATTTGGTCATTATTTGATATATTTTAATCCAGAAAATATGATACTAAACATAACTTGTGTATAATATGGTGGTCTAGTGATAGTGCTAAATATGAATATGCTAAGAACAATAATAACATCATTTAGTAACATGTTTAACATTGAAATAAAGAGAACATACCTAAAAAATACTTCAGATCCAATAGCGGTGTTGGTGTTGATGTTCCTAATGTCGGTGACAAAGCAGAGAGCAGTTGCACAAAGAATGCGTACCCAAAAACTTGATCGTCCACCTAAGTACTATATATGGTGGATACACTTCCGGAGGCCTGCTTGTCCCGAATACCTGTGCGTGCAGGTACTTAGGACCGGGGATTACCGAAGTAACTTAGAAGCATAAGAACATGATGTATCTACCAGAGAGAACCAGAACAAGACGAAGGAACATAGAGCTTATGTGCGGGAGAATTCTTTCGGACAAGAGACAGTGTTTTTCTACCTCCTTAGGGAATGAGAACAGACACCGGTAGTGGAAGAGGTATATGTTGTTTACTCCTCTTGATGGAAGAGAGAGCTTATGTGCTAGAGAGTTCTTTCGGACGAGAGACATAGTGTTTTTCTACCTTGTGGGAAAGGAGAACAGCCGGTAGTAGAAGGCGGCAAGGGGTACGTGTTGTTTACTCCTTTTGATGGCCTCCGCATGATATAGTGGTAACATCCGTATGTGAGAAAACGAACAGCCCGCCGCTCCGTCTCCGTCACATGCCCTGCGTGGGAGTCTGACAATCCATCCATCACCTCACCCAGTTAATAGGTGCACTCAAATTATAGACTATTTAAGTTGAGGTTTTTTTTCATTGATTTTCAATGCGATATTAATCTGGACATGGGATTTATTAGAATTAATCTGGACATGGTCATTTTAATTCTAACAAACCCGACATTGTCTGCCTGGGACAGAGTATAGCCTTAGGATGAAATAAAAGTGTATTGAACATATGTAAATAAAACTCTTCATGAGGTTTTTAGTAATAATTGTATCCTTTCGGATTATATGGAAAATGACAGCGCAATGGATCTGATCTGGTCATACGATACATCTTGAGCAAGTGTAGAGGGTTGGTCAACTGTGTATATAAATAATAATTCGTTGCATCTATCCACGAGCCTTTCGTTGCCGGCGACTCCATCGCTTCGTTGCGTTGTTTGGGCGTGGCCGGAGTTGTTCAACTGCTGCTGTCAACTGTAACCCTCCTGTGAGTTCTTCGATACCTTTTGAGCTCGGATTTGTTCGCGACGGTTTTTTGATTGAGTACGGATTCAGGCTTGCTTAACTAAATTGTGTCGGCGTAAAGAGATCCCGATCTAGCTATATGACCAAATTAGCTAGTATATACTTCGCTTTGCACTCATATTGTCTCTGGTCTTGATTGCTAAATAATTTTGGCAGTACCTTTTTATTTGCGGTGAAATTCTGATAGTAGTATTTCTTTTGCTTCTCGTAGGCAAAACTTATATCCTGTTATCCATTTTTCACCCAGTTCTCCCTGAGGAATTAATCAGGACCAAACATGGCGGAGGCGAGCAGTAGCACCCACCGGCGTCGATCGCAAGCTCAGATCAGCAAGATAGCCCTTCGGTCAGACGTGTGGAATCACTTCACCCGTTTCACCGACGGAGATGGGCGAGCCAAAGCACGGTGTAAGCACTGCCCCCAGGTGCTCGGCGCAGAAACCAAGAGCGGCACGAGTACCCTTTGGGCGCACTGGAATCGCCACGAGCAACGCGAAGAAATACCAGGCGAAGAATCACCACAACAGACACCACCACCGCTGCCGCCTGCTGGCCCTGAAGAGGCGGCCAGAGGAGACCTTGCTCGGATGATCGCGTTGCACGGGTACAACCCGTCAGTCGTCAAGGACGACTATTTCAGAAGCTTCTTGTGCCGTCTCAACCCCGAGTACGAGGTGCCCTCGCGCCTCGCCATCGAGGAGATGTGTGATGCTATCTTTGATGAAACAATGAAGGGCCTCTTCTCTAAACTACACGATGTTCCTGGAAAGGTCAGTATAGCAGTGGGTACAGTTAGAACCATCCGAGGGAATATGTTGTATACAGCGTGCCACTTCATTGATGATCAATGGAATCTTCATAAGATAATCATGGATGTTTACGCGGATGTACCTTTTCTTAACTACCATGGCCCATTGTTGGGAGTTGATGAAGTTTGTCTCGATCGGGATCTCTCCCGTGATATTTCCATTGACAAAGTTATGGTTCGTTTTAAAGCGCGTGAGGTTTTACATAATCTGTTCATGATGATATGGGAAACAAAGGGGAACGATATTAACCTTGAATATGAACTGAGGAATGAAATAGAGGATAACCCATTCAAAATCAATCCAAACAGGAGACAGCTATTTTATACCACCTACATGGACAACGTGATTCACTCGATTGCTAGACTGCTTGTTATGGATCCAGAATTCAAAGATGACTATATTATCTCTGACTTGGAGAATTTACATTTGACTAGACAAGAGCGCCATCAGCTTCTTTCACAACTTGGTCTAGATTATGACCTATGGGCATATGATGAAAAGTGGTACTCGGAATACTGTTCGATGGAAGTTCTTCGCAAGAAAGGCTCTGCAATAACGAATACAGTATTTGCAGAACTATTGTGTATGCTTTGGGGAGAAATATACCGTTCCATTCAAAGGATTTCTGCACCCGATTGTCCCACTTCATCAAATCTTTGTCTCATAGAGTTGTTTAAGCTGAGGGAAGTTTTTAAGCATCAACTAGCACAGGCAAGTGGAGAGAATGCAATTGCTTACAATGAATTTAATGGCTGTTTTGGCGCCGAAGATCACAAAGATGTTGCAGACGTTCTTACAGAAGCAATGGTCGCTATAGACAAGGCCATACAAGATTCCTACCCGGTCTGGTCTATACCACTTGTACTGGATCCCCGGTACAAACTCGCACGCACAAAATTTATTTTCCAAACAGCCTTTAGCACCGAGGCTGCAGCCGACTACATCTCTGAGGTAACACGAAATATCACTGAGCTATACTCTGACTATGTTGAAGATGATGATAGTACCATGAATGCGGTGGCAGTTGGCAGCACTGATCCACTGCAAGAAGCATGGGATGAGCACCGCCGAGCAGAAGCCCAAACAGACCTCGACCGTTATCTGAAAGATGAGCTAGTCCATGATCCAGCACAAGGTTTTGATATTCTCAGCTGGTGGAAGGTTCACGGGTCAGTTCTCTATCCAAGGGTGGCTCAGATGGCGAGGGACGCTTTGGCAATGCCCACATGCAGTAAGCCTTCTGCTGAGCAACTCGCACACATCACGAGCATCGTTCGCGGTTACTCCAAGGAAGGATTCGTGTAATGTCACAGCGTATTTAGCATTGACAAGCTCCGGGTGCATCGATGTCAGATTATGATCGAGCTGATGATCTTGAGTGCTGATATTTATATTTCACTTTCCTGTAATTAACTTTTTGAACTATGCAAGCTTTGCAGCGCCAAACTCTGTCTGCCTCTGTCATGTTTCTTCATTATATTTTACTGTTCAAGTTCAACAATTTTCAGAGTTCTCTGTTTTCCACCGAAAGTCCGAAACCGAGCAACGAGAGAACGATTTGCACAATTGATCCACCTGTATGCTCAAGTGTTATTCTTCATCAGATACTTCAATCTGGCTAGCTCCTTGTTATCTTTTCCCCAAATATCCTTGCTATTGTAGTACGTGTTGTCGACGACGACGACGACGCCATGTGCGCGGCGCTGGTGGCGGAGCTGCGTGAGCTGAGCGAGCGCGTGGCGGACGAGCGGGAGTACGCGCAGACGGGGCGCGCGTGCGTGCTCGCCGGCATGAGCTCGCACGGGCAGCAGCGCGCCTCGTCGGTGCAGCTCGCCAAGGGGAGTTCCGTGTACGGGTGTTCGTCCGCGTTCGCGACACCGGAGATGCAGAGGATGGAGAAGCTCTCGGTGATTTTACCGCCGTCTTCTTTCACTCAGACGCTGAGCAAAATGCCATAGTGAACTTTTGTGATGGCTGAAAACATTGGAAGAGAGGTGGTTGATGAGACAACAAGATGTGGTGAAACACTTACGTTTTGTTAGGTTGGATAATTTCGTGTTTTGAGAGTCATCGTTTTAAGAACTTTTATTTGCATGTGAGAACAGTTAAATCCAAACTATTTATGTGCATTTCTTTTTATACTGGTGTTGCTAATATCGCTTGCGTAGTTGCGTTGAGTCTTGAGACAACAACGGTAGCATGGTGGATGCTTAATTTGCGCGGCCATATCGCCACGACGTCCCGACTGAGCGTAGCGTAGTGACCACCGTCGAAGACGTATAGTCGCCAACTCTCCATATCATCGTGGTAGGCTCTCATACCATTGTTAACAAATTATCCTCTCGCTCGATTTCGATGCAAGAACAATAAATTGGGAAAATAAAGAGTAAATTTCACTTTAAGCCATCTTTATTAGCTAAATTTCCGCAATAAACTAGAGGTAAATCAATATTTTCACTAACACTTTTCTGTCTCCCCTCCTTTAATGAAAGGAAAAAGTACGAATTACCCCCCTCCCCCCGGGAACTATCGCGGTCGTCCGAATTACCCCCTGAACCATAAAACCGGACATTCTTCACCCCCAACTATACAAATCGGACGAATTACCCCCTCGACTCAATCCGCGGTGGTTTTGGTCTGCGTGGCGTTCGCATGGCAGTCCAGTCAACATTTTCATTTTTTAAAACATAGTGAGCCCACCTGTCATATATACACACTCTCTCTCCCCTCTTCCCCCCTCTCTCTCACTCTTCCTCTCTCTCTTCTCTCTCTCACTCTCTCACGGTCAAAGGCAGGCGGGGGCAGCGGCTGAGGGCGGCGGCCTCGGCGTGGAGGTGGCGGCGGCGGGGGCGGCGGAGGCGCCGCCGGTGGTGGTGCTGCCGCCGCGTCGCCGCTCGGCCTAGACAGCGGCGGGCGGAGGCGGCTGGGGGCGGTGGGCGCGGAGCCGAGGCCGCGGCTAGCGGGCGCGGAGGCGAGGCCGGCGGCGGGCGGCGGGCGGCGGGTGGGGGCGAAGGCGGCTGCGGGTGGCGGGCGAGGCGCGGAGGCCGGCGGCGTAAGGCAGCGCACGGGGCAGGAGGTGGACGGACGCCGTCGCGCGGGGGCGCGGGACGCGAAATGGTGCTCGACGGCGCGCGCAATGGTGCTCGACGCGGAGGTGGGAACGTCCGAACGTGCTCACCGCCGGCCGCGAAATGGTGCTCGACAGCGCGCACATCACGAAGCTCCGTGTGTCGTCCCATGCCGACGCCGGCGGCGACGGAGACGGTGCGGCACGGCGACGACGGCCCGTCCCCTCGCCGACGAGGAGCTGCTGCTGGCGGACGCCGTGGCTCCTGACACCGCCGTCGTTTCATCTTAGGCTCGGGATGGTGGTGGAGAAGGGGAGGTGACGGCGACCTCGGATGGCTCCACCGCGCAGGACCACGATGACGACGACGCTGGAGCCGCCGCGGGCTGCCGTGCTCGCCGAGAGAGGGAGAGAGAGAGAGTGAGAGAGAGAGAGGGGAAGATTGGAGAGAGAGAGAGTATATGACAGGTGGGCCCCACTATGTTTAAAAAAAATGAAAATGCTGACTGGGCTGCCACGCGTGCGCCACGTAGACTAAAACCACCGCGGATTGGGTCGGGGGGTGGGGGGTAATTCATCCGGCTTGTATAGTTGGAGGGTGAAGAATGTCCAGTTTTATTGTTAGAGGATAATTCGGACGACCGCGATAATTCGGGAGGTAATTCATACTATTTCCTTAATGAAATCGGCAGAGCTCTTACCCTCGAAAAAGAAGAGTATCCATCCTTTACACTTTATACCAGGCTTAGATATTTTGGACTGTCATGTTGGCTTTGACCCAAGAACGACACGGGTTGTGCTACAAACTTTTCATTTTTTCTGCCATCGAGAATCGACGAGGGCTTCCACTGCAATCAAAGCCCTAGCCATGGAGTATCAAAATACGGAATTATTTTTTTTTAGAAAACCTTTATCGATGGAGACGATCTCTATTGGAACTTTCCTTTGTATACAAACTTTTAATAAATAAACTTTGCAAAGTTTTAATGCATAAATTTTGTGCATAGACATTTTTTGAGAGGAGATTCCAAACGAATTAAATATAGTCAGAAAATTTCTATTCAAAATCAATGAATTTTTAAGGGCATATCTAAAAAATCTATCGCAAGTTGTTTAATTTTGGATGAAAAAGCTTCCAAACGTCTCTATATGCTTGGACTGAAATTAAGTGCAACTAACATGGTAACTAACTCGAATTGTATCCTTTTAGGTGTATACGAAAATTGACAGCAACGGATCCGGTCAGAGTAGAAAATTCGTGGAAGGGTAGACTACTAGACTTGCAAGGTTGGACGACTGTATTGCATCCATCCATCCACGAGACTTTCGGTTCCATCGGCCCATCGGCTTCGTTGCGTTGTTTGGGCGTGGTCGGCCGTAGTTCTTCAGCTGCAATCCTCCTGTGAGTTCATCTTAATCTTTTGAGCTCGGATTTGTTCCCAGTTGTTTTTTTTATTGATGCCGACGCACTTGTTGGGCTAAATTGTGTTGGCGTGAAGAGATCCCGATCTAGCTAGCTATATGCATGCTTACCCTGTGCATTCATATGGTCTCTGGTCTGATTGCTACTCCCTCCGTCCCACAATATAAGTGATTTTGATTTTTTACTTGCAACATTTAACCACTCGTCTTATCCAAATTTTTTTTGCAAATATAAAAAACGAAAAGTTGTGCTTAAAGTATTGTAGATAATAAAGTAAGTCACAAATAAAATAAATAATAATTTCAAAAAATTTTGAATAAGACGAGTGGTCAAACGTTGCAAACAAAAATTCAAAATCCCTTATATTGTGGGACGGAGGGAGTAATTAATTTTGACAGTACCTTTTTATTTGACGTGAAATCTTGATAGTAGTATTTCTTTTGCTTCTCGTAGGCAAAACTTATATCTTGTTATCCATTTTTCCACCCAGTTCTCCCTGAGGAATCTTATATTATATTATATTATATTATATTATATTATATTATATTATATTATATTATATTATATTATATTATATTATATTATATTATATTATATTATATTATATTATATTATATACTAAAAGTCCATTAAACTTCCTACAAACGCTCTCAAGCCACCACGTGAGACTCCTATAAACGCTATTAGGCCGCCACATGGCTCTATCTAATCCAACCGTCGATTTTCACTTAAATTGGTGGACCCAATATTTTAATCCAACCGTCGATTTTCACTTAAATTGGTGGACCCAATATTTTAGACCATTAGATTATATTTCACTTAAATCGGTGGACCTGATATTTTAAACCATTAGGTTAGATGTATTTTGTTTTAAAGAAACTAATTCCTTATACTCTGTTACGTATATAGGAGTGCCCCCAGCCGACGTAGTACACCCTCTCATTCTCCCTTTCTTTTTTTCTAATCTAATTAAGTTAGTCAAAAGATATGCACCATAATTTTGAGAATGCTACTCACAAATAGAGTCGTTTTTTATTTTTGAAAATGCAAGTCTAATTTAGCTATAATTATTTGTAAGTGATATGTAATTATATTTTTAATTTATTTATATTTTTATGTCTGTGCACACGTACAGGACGGGTGGGTGTGGGCCTTCCTTTTCTCAATTTTTTGAAGAAAAATCTAATCAAATGGCAGAAATTAACCATATATATGGTTATATATGTGCGCGTCATCTATTAGATCTACTAGCAATAGGCACGCGCTACGCTGCGTGTAAATAAAGAAGGAATCAAAATAAGCTTAAGGTATTCAAACAAACTAATGAGATATAACACATATCACAATTCTATTGTAACATTTAAATGTTGTAAGACATCGTTACAATTTATGAGAAAAATACCATTTCAACTCAACATGGCTGAAAATTCCAAATCGTATAGACCTCTGATTGTTTTTGTTTACTGGCTTATCAACAAATTGGAAAGAGAATTAGATCATGGCCCAAACAACCTACTTGGAAATGGTACTAAAGCAATTAAGTTTCAGATAAACTTCACCTATAGTGGAAAATGGGCAACACAAATCCTTAAACAATCATATAGCTCATTAGCTTGAATGGCCAAGCAACTAAATCAAAATCAAAATCAAAATATAATTGCTTCATCCATTTACATAAATATGGAGTCAAATTGTGACAGGCGGCAATCACAGAAACAGTTCCACGACTAACAATATGTCAGAATATCTTAAAGCATGTTGTATAGGATGGCAAAACCTTATTTCATTGCACCTATGGACTAACTTGAAACCCAGTAGAGTTCTAATCAAATTTGCAGCTTCAACAATGTCATATATATAAGTAATTCGTAGGCCAACAAAATAAGGCTTGGGTAATTCTCACTTACCAATAGTACAATACTAACATCTATGACATTTGACGGATGCTTGGAATACAGGATGGTACTAAAAACAATTATTGCAGAGGAGATAATGTAGTTGAGCTCAACTGCATCTTTTGCCAAAAACAAATAAAGATATCTTATCCTCCATAATCTCTTTTGGTTGTATCTGCCAAGGCAAAATATCAATTAATCTACACCATATACAATTATTATGTATTATTTTGAAGGTTAACATTGTATTAACTCTATTACACAAAAACATTTTATTAACACAATATTATTTGCAGAAAAAATGAAGTAAAACAATTGGCAGTGTTAATGATCTGACATGTCAGAATGTGGTATGCGGGTGCACACGAAAGATTTGGTGTTAAATCTTTAAATCTGAATGCAGGCTAACTGCAGTAAAATGATAGTCTTAATTTATACTCCCTCCGTCTCATAAAAACACTATGTCCATATTCATCCTAGGATTTGGTTTTTTATGGGACGGAGGAAGTACAAAGCAAAATGTAGGCAATTAATTGTATTGCGCATAGTACTATGTGATAATGGAACTTTGTGTAAAGGGTAAAGATACAATAGTGAGTATGGACATGAGCAAACTGCAAACTACCATCCCAAATCCCTGACTTGGCAGAATGTTATTTTTAGAAGAAAATACCTAAATTTTGAGGTGCATTAAATTACGCGAACCTTAAATTATACAAACCTGAACACAATTCATGATAATTTAAATGTAGAAGTAAGCAAGTAAATAGCATTTCAAACCATGGTCTAATAATCAAATGTAGAAGTAGGCACGACGCATATGTGATTACCCAACTGGAATAGTATCAACTGACTACTTAGGAAAAGGGAAAAAAACAGTTTAAACGATGTTGACAAAATGAAATAGTTAAATGTAATATTAAAAGATGCAGATTGGAAGCTGTAACCTGAAGCATAGCTGCATTATACTTATTTTGCAACATTGAATATGTTGTGGACATAACCAGAAGCAAACTGGCATAACTGGTGACTTGCAACATAGAAAATTTATATGCATAGAGTATTTTCAGTGCTGCTAGGACATTCCAGAGGCCTAAACTCTTGTGTCAAGGCAGAGGAGAAAATTAGATGCTTGCACTCTTCATCATTTACACATTAAATTATAAAAATATCAGGCATGCTGAAAGTTTTTTTTTTTTTGGCAGAATGTAAGTTTGTAGGATAGTATTAAATAACTACCTGTCAGAATGTTTTGTTTATGAATATGTGGCAGCAGGTTGAGTTGTCTGAAACACCACCAAGCAATGAAAAAACAACCATAAGCTTCATTTCGTCTATGATCTTAATTACCAACTTTCTTTGTTGAACTGGACCAACACAACAAACCACATAAATCCGGTGAAGTAGTAATAATTTTGTTGCAACAAATTAGACATCAATAAAGGATTTGCACACCGTCTATCGAAGTGTTATGCTCCCAGTATCAGAGCTAGGGCTTTTGATGTCAGTACTGGGCTATTGGCTGGTACCTAAGCACTGCTAATAAAAAGAATATCCTTCCATTGCATATCCTGTTTGTAGAATGCTCTCATATAACATATAATCTTTATACTTATAGCCTTGTAGTAATACCTAGCATGGTTTTCTTTTTTCTTCCTGATGTCATTCTATCAAGGGGTGTCATACAATGCAGCAACAAAACCAATAACCATGGAACTTCTGATAGCTAAATTCATATGAAGTAATCTGAACTCAAGAAAAACTCAACATAATCTAAATCTCGCAGCCCTGCTTAAGAGAGGAGAAAGCTCGATAGCTTGCTCAGCATGACGGTAGATGCGCAGCATGGAAGTCGTCCTCTCTATAATCTGTGACCTACACCTCATCCTAGCCCATCAGTTTCTCCACAGAACCTAAGGCAAGATGGGGGATTATGTAAAAACACCAGCAAACGCAATGCAAATGCTCAATGGCGAGTCAAAACCATTGCCTTACCTTATGGATTTTGTGCTAAATGTATGCACAAAACGATTGTGGTTGAAAGGGTATCAAAAGGATTCACCAGAAAGGAAACCAATGGTCGCAAGTGACTCCAGTGATCGGATCAACCAGTGGGGAGGCCGAGACCATCGATTCCGCTGACCCCCAAACCGGATCTGTAGCTCACCGATGACTCCAGTGATCGGATCCACCAGTGGGGAGGCCGAGACCATCGATTCCAATGACCCCAAACCGGATCTGTAGCTCACCGAGGATAGGGAGAGGAAGAGGAAGGCGGTAGTGGTCTGGAGATGAGAGGGGAGAAGAGGGCAGCGATGGCTTGATGGCCTCGTGACCCTTCCTTCCTCCGGATGGCTAGATCCACTGGCAAGGAGGGCGGCGCCAGCGCAACGACAATAGGAGGAGGGTGAGGCGACGATGGCACAAAGCGAGGGGAGGAATAGCCGAGGAGGGCGAGGCGGCGCGCGTGAGAGAGGAGTGCGAGGCCGGGCTGGGCTGAGTGCGGCTAGGGTTTTCTTCTCTTGATCTGCTCAAAAAAAAATCTGGACCATCCAATATGCTTTCGCCGATCCTATGGCTCAGGAAGAGCAGCCACATGAACGGCCGGATGGATCTTAATCCCGCGATCGAGTGGATGGCATTAATTCGAACTAAAACGTGATTAGCAGCAAAAGAAGGTGTTTTCTAGAAAAAACAATGACGTGGCATGGCTAACTCTCCACCATTCCCACGATCTTTAAGTAAACAAATATTTCAAAATAGTCCATCCCCTAATCTCTTTCAAGTTTGACTAAGTTTATAGACAAATATAGTAATATTTATAATACTAAATTAGTTTCATCAAATCAATAATTGAATATATATATTCATAATAAATTTGTCTTGGGTTTAAAATATTACTATTTTTTCTATAAACTTGTCAAACTTAAAGCAGTTTGACTTTTACTAGAGGCAAAACGTCTTATAGCCTGAAATAGAGGGATTTCTTTAATTTTATCGGGAAAAAATCCAGAAGAAACGTACATATATACAGAGGCATGAGAGAAAGAATACTAGGTGAAAGGAATGCACATAGACAACATGATTTTTTCCATATCCTACGACTATTCATTAGGAATATAAGTACATACGTGCACAGTGAAAGTACACGTAAACGTAAACGACAGGAGGCGAGAAGAAAAAACGTGCATACCAACAAAATTACTTTTTTCTCCAAATTCTCAAATTAAAAATTGTTAATAAAATATTTGGTTGGTATTTTAGGAGCGGGAAATATACATGATACATATATGGATGTGATATTTTAGCAAATTATCTTGCTATAATATAACCCCTTAAATATTAATATGTCAGGCTTAACTGATTGGCATGTCATACACCCTGCTTACTTGACCATTGATAATAAATAGCAGGTGTTGATAATGAACTAGGTACTAGACTATTATGTTGTCAAAGAGTAAATAATAATGATGAAAGTGGTACATTTCTTTAGAAATACTCCCTCCATCCCAAAAAGACTCAATTCTTAGGTTTCCGTGTCCAACATTTGACCGTCCGTCTCTTATATGAAATTTTTTTATGATTAGTATTTTCAGATGATAAAATATGAATAATATTTCATGCATGATTTATATTTTTAAATTTTTTCATAATTTTCTCAAATAAGATAGACGGTGAAACGTTAGACACGGAAACTCAAGAATTTAGTTTTTTTGGACAGAGGGAGTGTTTTTTTTAATAGTGTTGAATGAAGAAGAAATATTACATAATAGTACCGATTAACACCTTAATATCAAAATGTGTCTACTTTATACTACAAATCAACTCAAAACTTAATTAAAAAAACCATTTTCATCATCTATATCTTCTCTCTAAGCACCAAGCATAGAAAACCAAGATTGCTATGCTATCGTAAGTATCGTACGTTCACACATATGGTTAAATTGAAGTGGCTCCAATGAGAGGCCACCATTAGCAATAGAGCTCAATTGGGCTACTTACCGATGTTGTTCTTTTTAAATGAACTAAGAGTTAAAATGATGCACCACGTTGGTCTTAAGGGGTATGGATATGTTAATGCGGGATCCATGTTTCAACACATTAGAGAAGAAAGCCATGACAGCTAAGGTCGACTATGTCCATTAACCAATATAAGGGAATTTTTGAAATATTTATACATAGATTTGGCCATAAGTGAGACAAAGACAATTCAATATAAAGCGGAGATGAATTTTATTTTTTCAAAGATGTATTGAGTTCAGTTGACGGTACAGATACAATGATAATAAATAGTATTGGTTGGCAAGTTTAAATACAATCGATAAAAAGTATGTTTTTTTTCACTCTGAGAGGCATTCTTATCATTTAGTATATCAAAGTCTATAGTTTATTTCATGACATAGATTATTTTTCTGAAGATTATAAGATAGTCTACTGTCGTTTTAGTAAATTTGATGAGTTAAAAACAATAAATAAATAAATAAAACAATAAATAAATAAATTTGACGAGTACCTTTCATATTATTTGTTACAAACAATAAATAAATAAAGTGCCCGCGCAGATGCGTGGGCTTACTTTCTAGTTAATCAAAAGACCAAACATGGCAGAGGCGAGCAGTAGCACCCACCGGCGTCGATCGCAAGCTCAGATCAGCAAGATAGCCCCGCGGTCAGACGTGTGGAAGCACTTCACCTGTTTCATCGACGGAGACGGGCAAGCCAAAGCGCGGTGTAAGTATTGTCCCGTGGTGCTCCGCGCAGACACCAAGAATCACGGCACGAGCACCCTGGGGCGCACTGGAAACGCCACGAGCAACGCAAAGAAACCCCCGGCGCCGCCGAATCAGCACAACATCCAGCACCACCACCGCCGCCTTCTTCTGGCCCTGAAGCGGCGGCCAGCGGAGACCTTGCTCGGATGATCGCGCTGCACGGGTACGACCCGTCGCTCGTCGAGGACGACTACTTCAGAAGCTTCTTGCGCCGCCTCAACCCCAATTTCGAGGTGCCCTCGCGCCTTGCCATTGAGGAGATGTGCGATGCTATATTCGACGAAACAAGGAAGGACATCTTCTCCAGGCTATACGACTTCCCTAGTAAGGTCAGTATCGCGGTGGGTACGGTCAGAACCATCCAAGGGAATGTGCTGTATATGGCGTGCCACTTCATCGATGATGAATGGAATCTTCACAAGGTAATCATGGATGCTTACGTGATTGTTCCTTTTCTTGACTACCATGGCCCGTTGTTGGGAGTTGATGAAGTTTGTCTCGATCCGGATATCCGTGAATTTGCAATTAAGAAAGTTATGGTTCGTTTTTCAAACGATGAGGTTTTAAATAATCTGTTCATGATGGTATGGGAAACAAAGGACAACGATATTAACCTTGAACATGAACTGAGGAATGAAATAGAGAAAAACCAAAACTATACCAATCCAAATAGGAGAGAGCTAATTTGTACCACCTACATGGACAGTGTGATTCACTCGATTGCTAGACTGCTTATTGTGCATCAAGGATTCAAAGATGATATTATCTCTAACTTGCTGCATTTAGATTTGACTAGACAAGAGCGCCATCAGCTTCTTTCACAACTTGGTCTAGATTATCACCTATGGGCATACGATGAAAAATGGTACTCGGAATACTGTTCGTTGGAAGTTCTTCGCAATAAAGTCTCTTCATTAACGGATTCAGTGTTTGAAGAACTATCGTATATGCTTTGGAGAGAAATATACCGTTCCATTCAAAGGATTTCTGCCCCCGATTGTCACACTTCATCAAATCTGTCTCATAGAATTATTTAAGCTGAGGGAAGTTTTTAAGGATCAAAAAGCACGGGCAAGTGGAGAGAATGCAATTTCTTACAATGAATCTAATGGCTTTCCTGGCGCCAAAGATGGCAACTATGTTGCAGACGTTCTTGGAGAAGCAATGGTCGCTATAGAGAAGGCTATACAAGATTCCTACCCGGTCTGGTCTATACCACTTGTACTTGATCCTCGGTACAAACTCGCACGCACAAAATTTATTTTCCAAACAGCCTTCGGCACCGAGGCTGCAGCCGATTATATCTCTAAGGTAACACAAAATATCACTAAGCTATACTCTGACTATGTTGAAGATCATGGTAGTGCCATGAATGTGGTGGCCGTTAGCAGCACTGATCCACTGCAACAAGCATGGGATGAGCACTGCCGAGGAGAAGCCCAAACAGACCTCGACCGTTATCTGAAGGATGAGCTAGTCCATGATCCAACATCAGGTTTTGATATTCTCAACTGGTGGAAGGTTCACGGGTCGGTTCTCTATCCAACGGTGGCTTTAATGGCGGGGGATGCTTTGGCTATGCCCACATGCAGTAAGCCTTCTGCTGAGCAAATCGCACACATCACGAGCATCGTTCGCGGTTACTCCAAGAAAAGGTTCGCATACTGTCACAGCGTATTATTGTCAGATTAATACTCCAAGAATGTGTGCATTGACAAGCCCGGGTGCATCAATGTCAGATTATGAGCTGATAATCTTGAGAGAAGATATATTTATAGTTCTTGTAATTAGCTTTTTTGCATTCTGCTTTGCAGCGCCAAACTCTGTCTCTCTCATGTTTCTTCAGTTTACTGTTCAAGTTCAACAATCTTCAGAGAATTCTCTGCTGTTCTCTACCGAAAGTCCAAAAACCGAGTGAGCTAGAGAACGATTTGTTAATATTGATCCACCCGTCTGCTCAACTGTTCTTCTTCATCAGATATACTCCACTTCAATCTGGCTAGAGCTCCCAAATTAATACCCTTGCTGTAGCAGTGTTGTTGGTGTCTCTTCATCTGTGTTCGTTGAAAATTTGAAGGGGGCTGCTAGAACACGTCATACACTCGTACCATCAATAAGGGCACCCTCAATGGTTATCTATATGCTATCTACAAGAGATCCATGTCAGCATATTTTCCTACTTGGAAGAGATTAAATGAAGAGAGAGAGCAAAGTTATCTACTAACTTAGAGATAGTCTATAGAGAAAAACGAGGCAATGAATTAGAGAGCTATAGATACCCATGTAGACATACCATTGAAGTGATTTACTATTAATCTAGTCTATTGCTGAGATGTACATGTTTTATAGATAGCACATTACTTTACCATTGCGGGTGCTCTAATCAACGGTATAATGAGGGGCCTCATCGGTTATCCAGAACTTATTATAACCCGTAACGGCTTATTAGCGACAAAAAGTAATTTGTGTGTACAATTTTTATATATGATCTTAGCAACTTAAAAACATATGTCCACAACGTAAGCATATGTTCTTAAAAAAAAAAGTAAGCATATCCAACCATCACCCCTTAGCCCTCACATTATGTCCACAATATATCAATATATATATTTATCATTTTTATAATTCTTGATATATATTCATCTATATATTCCGCATAAAAGAGTAGGATATCATTTAATTTGTTCATCATTCAGGATTAGTATTAATAAACCTTAACTTTTTATCATTTTTTCCTACCTTAGATTCTTGCGATGCAAATATTAGCCAACAACCCAATATTTCATCTACAATTTTCTACACAGCCTACTAAATTTTATTTTTCTCCAATTGCTTGGCTAACCAGTTTTATCTATTGTTAATAACTAATATTCTTTTTACTCCTAGCTCCATTGTTGAAAAAAAAAACATGTTGAAGATGAGTATTTAGTAATTCTTGTAGTGTGGGAAATCATCACCTAGATAGTAACACCAGTGACGATTTCGATTTCGAAGATCTACAAAAATTCTTAATTTAATTATCGTTTTTGTCAACTCTCAAAGGTCAACTCCTCCTCTTGGCTTTCTTTGCTCTTGGAGAAGAATTGCTCCACCACCAACCTCTGAAAATCATATTCTGCTTTTACATCTATGTAATAAAAGAATTAGTAGAATGTTTTTTTCTAAACAACAAGATACCATGTAGGGACAGCATATTCCATCTTGAACCAGACTCAAACTTTTAAAAAAATGAAAAATAAAAAGCCCACTAATTCTGAGAAAAAAAAAATACAGCTAGCTATCACCGTTCACATTGGAATTGGATATTACACATGCGTGTGCATGTCGGGCTCCAAAACCCATTCTGCTTCAAAGAAAATGGATGAAGGTTCATCACCGGCGTCCACCTCGGCCACCGCCGCCGCCGCCGCCGCAAATTTGGAGTCCACCAGTTTCGACGACGGCAGAAGTCATAGCTCCAAGATCACGCCAATCGAGCTGGTCGTCGTCAATCCCGAAGAACCGCCACCGGCCTCTCGGTCTCGTGGTCATGGACCTCGTCGTCGATCATGGCGGCGGCGGCCATGTCCACCCCTCGCGAAGAAGGCGGCGGCCGAGTTCGTGGGCACGTTCATCCTGATCTTCGCCATGCTCTCCACCATCGTGACCGACGCGCAGCGCGGCGGCGTGGAGGGCCTCGTCGGCGTGGCGGCGTCCATCGGGCTCGCCGTGGCGGTGCTCGTCATGTCGCTCGCCCACGTCTCCGGCGCCCACATCAACCCGGCGGTCAGCGTCGCCATGGCCGCGTTCGGGCGCCTCCAGCCCGCGCACCTCCTGCCCTACGCCGCCGCGCAGGTCCTCGGCGCCGTCGCCGCCGCCGCCGCCGTCGACGGGATCTTCCATCCGGCGAGCCGAGGGTGGATGGTGAGCGTGCCCAAGGTGGGGACGGTGGAGGCGTTCTTCCTCGAGTTCGTCACCACGTTTGTTCTCCTCTTCGTCATCACCGCTGTCTCTGCCGATCCCAACGCAGTATAATTACTACCTCCGTTTTATATTATAAATTATCTTAATCATTATTTATCTATCAAATTTATATAAAAAAATATCTACAACACTAAATTAGTTTCATTAAATATGATATTGTACATTTTTTTTTGACGAGAATGATTATCGTCGGGTGACCGGCGAAAGGAGCAGAAATCGGGCGCTCCCCCTGCCCTCCGCGTGCGTGCATGCCAGGGCGCGTGCGCTCCTCCCTAGCCTACGACGTGTCCACACACACAACTCTATTGCAACAAATTATCCACATATTTTAGAAAACCCCCTATTAAGGGAATTCGTTTCATTTTTTGTTCCACCAAAAATGTTTCACCTAGTATACTCATGATGTTTCACTTTGTATAGGTTTAATGTTGAAGTGAATGAAACATTCTTTTACAACAAATCACCCACATATTTTGGAAACCCTATATTAAGGGAATTCTTTTCATTTTTTGTTCCACCAAAAATATTTCACCTAGTGTACTCACAATGTTTCACTACGTATAGATCTAATGTTACAGTGAACTGAAACATTTTTTCGCTATTTGCTGAAACATTGTTTTTAATAAGGTGAAACAACATCCGATTTAAACGATTGAAACATTTTCGATATACTTAGTGAAACAATTCCGATATACTTGGTGGAACATCGTGCAACATTTAAAAATAATTCAATAATAAGCCAACAAAAATTTCGTCGGAATAGATCCATGTGTGGTCTTGTTTTGAATATTTAATTGCAACGAATTTAATGGTGCAATCGGATCATGATTTGAATAAATAATTTAAGAGAAAAATTAGTTTAAAGTGGTTTTGCATGCATGCGTGGCACTGACGTCAGCGCCCGATTTTTCCCAATCCGAATCGAGCGCCCGATCTGTAGTCTCTTCCACTTCCATTTTTTTGATCATATACTCCCTCTGTTCCATAATATAAGGCACAACCACTTTTTTTAGATGTTCCATAATATAAGACATGCGTGCAAATATACAATTAACTATGACATTTTCTCCATTAAATTATTACTTTTTTAAATCCTCCACTCTCATATTATCTAATCTTATTGGATGCATGCGTTATATTTGTCAGAATGATTCAAGCTACAAGATAATAATTATTTCTTGGTCTTTGGGTTTAGGGCCCATTTGAATCGCAGGATTGAAAAAACGTAGAAATAGAAAATACATAGGATTTTAGTAGGAATGTAAGTGTAAAACAGAGGATTGGAAAGTGCAGAAAAAACATAGGAATGACCGTTTGATTGAACTGGAGGAAAAATGCAGGAATTGGATGAGAGAGATAGACTCAAAGGAAAGTTACCAGGAGGTTGAAGCTCTTATTAAATTTCCTCCAAAATCTCTATAGGATTGTCCATTACATAGGAATTTCAAAGAATTTGATAGGATTCAATCCTTTGTTTCAAAGGGCTTCATAGGAAATTTTCTTATAGGATTGAAATCCTCTGTAATTCCTATGTTTTTTCTCCAAATCAAAGGGGCCCTTAAGAGTGGTTGTGACTTATATTTTGGAATGGAGGTAGTATTTGTATTGTGTTGAAAAGCTAGGTTGCTATATATATATATATTATATTTGAATTAAAGTCACAATGACTAAAATATGTAACGGAGGGAGTAGCTAGATTTCCTACTACGTCACCCTATTTTCGTTAAACAAAACTACATATTTCTTCTTGTTATCTAAGAGTTTATCTTGTGTTATTACTTAATGATCTTAATTAGGATGATTATATTTTCAGGTTAAAGAGTTGATAGCAGTGGCAGTCGGTGGTACAGCGATGATGAACGTTCTTGTCGCAGGGTATGCGTGTGAAATCCTATTGTGCATTTACAACGTTCTTGTCGCAGGGTATGCGTGTGAAATCCTATTGTGCATTTACAAGTACACAGATTTGCTGAAATTCAGTTTCATATAATTCGTATTCCACCTCCTAAGTAACACTAAGAAAAATGGATAAACAGCCAATTTAATCTGTCATTATTCATCATTCACTAGTACTAGCTGTTCATGTAGTTAGACTAGATAGAAGTGTGAAAAACTACCTTTGATTTGTCTCTAGAGTTTTCTTGGTTTAGTGATTTTTGTCCTCAATTTTGGGTGACAGGCCGTCGACAGGAGCATCAATGAACCCTGCAAGAACACTTGGTACAGCCATTGTCGCAGGGAATTACACCCAGATATGGGTCTACATGGTTTCTACCCCTCTGGGTGCAATTGCTGGAACAGGGGCTTATTTTGCAATCAAGCTCTAGTTACCAACAGGTGACAAAATATTCAGATAGTGTGGACACCGGCGTAAATTTTGGGTGAATGAACATGCTTGTAGTTTTAACTTTCAACTACATATGCGTTTTTCACAAAAAGTTTTGAAACACAAAATTTTTTGAAATTCGTGAACTTAATTGGAATTGAGATATAGCTCTCATGAATTGTTCTGAAACAATAAGAGCTCCGATTGTTCTGAAATCCGAAATTGTGTAGTTTGCCCAAAAAAAAAAGAAGAAAGATGATGACTTCATACATCTCGGCCCAAACTCTGAGAGCCCAATTAATAGTGTAAACGGCCCAAACAGCGAGATTGTTGTTTACTAGCACTACTTTTGATGGTAACTGTAAGTCTGCAACCCTAGTTTGGTGTATTAATTTTGTTCATGTGCTTTAGTGTTTTCGGTTTTTTTCCCTAAATTTTTTAGACGAATCAGCGTCCTATTAACTCTTGCTAATGGTGTTAAATGTGAGGTAAAAAGACAAGTATACCCTTCATATTTTCTTATGTTTTTTTTACTCCACTTTCACATTTGCCTCTATTTTGAGATACATAATTTTGCGCATGAACTTTGGTCATGTTTCAAACTGATTCTTCCCATGTTTTAAATTTAACCCAAATTTTGGCAAACGTAATAAAATTTTGATATAATTAAGATTACTGCTTCAGTATGGCTCTTTGTATTTAATTTTACTGCTACAGTATGGCATCAATAGATTTACATTTTAATTTACTTCTGAATTTGTACCAAACTTGAATTTAAAAGTCCATTCCAAGTCTTATATAAAAACCAACTGGTTGAATATTTCTGTTTGTTTTCGCTTACAGAGACTAGACAGATCGTTGTAGTTTCCAATTTATCCTGCTAGTTATTACTGGGCAACCAACATGAGTACAAAACAATATCATGATTTCCACCGCTTGATTTTTTTAGATAATGGTATTAAATCCGGCCTTTTGCTTCAACGAATCTACAGCCAATTATTTTCACGCCGCTTGATGATTTGAACTGAGCAACCAATGTGATTTTTATTATTGCCATAAACTAGAAAGGAGAAACAAAAGGACACCAGCTCCCTCCTTAATTGAATTGCCGCCTCCGCTCGCTGGAGGCCTGGAGCTGCCATGTTTGTGTTAAGAAACTACGGGTGATCTCATCCACCCAAGGAAATAGGAACAACGGTTCCTATCTAACCGGTAGAGAAGAGGAGATCGCTCCTCTCTCTCCCTTTAGCGTCCCTCTCGACAACCGACATGATGTTCCCAAACATCGTATCCCCTGCGGTTGACACCGCTTCACATTGTATAAATGTACTGTTGATCAATGAGAAATCTATCGATTCGCTCTATTTGTGTTCAATTCTCTCTCTCGCTCAATCAATTCTATCCACATTCAACACGTTATCAGCACTTTTGCCCTCGCGAAGGAGATCGCAAAGTGAAAGAAGGAAGAAACATTGCTTTTGATCTAACAGAAAAGCGAACAGAAGTTGATCAATGAGAAATCTATCGATTCGCTCTATTTGTGTTCAATTCTCTCTCTCGCTCAATCAATTCTATCCACATTCAACACGTTATCAGCACTTTTGCCCTCGCGAAGGAGATCGCAAAGTGAAAGAAGGAAGAAACATTGCTTTTGATCTAACAGAAAAGCGAACAGAAGAATCATCAGAGAAGGTACGATGCCTACCTTTCATTGGATCATGGATGCCGTTCTCGGCCTCCCTCGCCATCAGCGCGCACGCCGGCTTCGCCATCTTCTTCGTCGATCGATGAGGAGGACGCGCCGGGGATCCCGCGGAGGCAGGGCTAGGGTTGGTGGCCGCCGCCACTCACAACACCCCCCCTCCCCCCCCCGCCCGTCCCTGTCGCACCTCCTCCTCCGCCTCCGGTTGCCGAAGCACCTCGCCGGATCCTTGTGCAAGGGGTACAGTACTGTGCCCACCATGGATGGACGGCGGTGGTGACAATGCCCGGCGAGCCGTGTGAACTCCCACTGGAAATGGAGTCGCTGCCGGCCCCGTTCGTCGCCACTCCGTCACCACCAACCGCTCCTTCCCCACCTCCATCAACGTCGCAGCCAACGCCAAGCTTTCAACGCTACCCCACTCCCGCGCCACCAGGATTCGGCCGTACCGGAACCATGGCGGCGCGCAAAGGGGAGCCGCCCCTCTTTACACCGTCTCCAACATGTCGCCACGCTGGAGCCACCGCTGCACGCCGTCCCGGCCTCCGCCATACGTTCATCGCCGTTTCCCATGGCTCCCAAAGCCGCACGATACCAAATGGCGTGGGGGGGGGAACGGTATTCGGGTCCGGCCGGTCTCTGACTCTGATGAGGAGTCGGGATCGTCGGCCTAAAGCCGGCCGGCATGCCGCCGGCCGATGAGGGGGACACGGCGGCGGCGGCGGATGGTGGATGGCGGTGGTGGAGGTGGTGGTGGATGGGAGGTGGCGGTGGAGGCGTGAGGCTGCGGTGGAAATGGAGGCGGTGGCGGCGGTAGAAGGTGGAGACGGCGGTGGAGTCGGCGGCGCCCCCAACGGCGCCGTCGGCGATGCCCCCCATCGGCGGCGCACCTCGGCGGCGTCGGCCGCGCCCCCAACGGCGGCGTCGGCGTGGTGCCCCACGGCGGCGTCGGCGGCGTGCCCCACGGCTGCGGTGGCAACGGAACGGCGAGGGCGGCGGCGAAATGCATGGTAGCGGCGGCGGAAATCCCGCGGGGGGCGGTTAGGGTTCTAACCCTAACTCCCCCCCCGACGCCCCCCCCCCCCCCCCCCCGGCCTTTTGCTGTCGGGCCTAATGAGCCGCGCCCTAGCGCCCCGCTGCCCCTTTTTGCCGGCCCAATGCCGCACAGTGGTGGGCCGATTCCTTTAGATTTCGGCCCACCACCCATTTTATCATTTAAATTTAGTTTTTAATTTTATTTTTAGCAGCAATTACATTTTAGTCCCTATGTTTTATGTAATTTAGTCGAAGCAGTTTATCAGTTGTACAAACAATTATGTAATGGTCCTATAGACCACTGATGTTACGTGTTTATTAACATAGGTGTTTATTTAAATACCCTGTTTCACTAAATTTATTTGTTGTCTTAATAACATGCCTTTTGCATATTATTTCAAGACACGCTCTACTTTCTCGCTTTATTAATTTACAAAATTCTATAAATTTTGTATTTTGATTTAGCAAATTCTCTTAATTATGTACAACATAATTAATGGAGGATTTAATGCATGTTCCACTTCACACTTTGACTTGGAAATTAATCACATGTCGATGGAGTCCTATACTTTGGTCATATCGACCATAACTTAGGCAGCGAGTATCTCGCCAATCATCAAGTGGTCTACATTCTGAGATGATTACCCGATGGAGTCCTACAAATTGACCGCACTGGTCATAACCTAGGCAGCGAGCATTTCGCCCATCTCACAGAGGTCTACATCTCACGATGATTACCCACATGTGTTATTTTTCGAGAATATGTTTTGAAAAATGAGATTATTTAAAATTTGGTTGAACACAAGGTAGTGGAGTCCCAAACATTGGCTGCGGTATATTCATAAGAATGTATTTGCCTGGAGACCGTGTTTTAGGTAGCAAGTATAACTTGCCCACTATTAAGAGATCTACTCCACTGTTTAATTACTTGGAGATTATCCACATTGTGCCACCTAATTTCGAATTCTAACTCAAAATTGCCAGGTCTATTACCTGCATTTTTCGAAACATTACAAAATATGAAGTTTTACATTACGCATTGAGATTACAACCTTAATATCATGTTTTTATTAATTTACCTCTGTAAATTGATAATGTTAACCATGATTGTAGGGACATGGCAACAAAAGAGTTCGACGAACTCGCCCTTGATGGGACTAACTATCCCATCTGGGCTTCCGATATCAAAATCAATTTTGCCTCTCGGGGGATTTTAAATACAATTGAGGAACCCAATGATGGGGATCCGGCAATTGAGCCCAGGAAGCTCAATACAACCTTTTTCTTTTGAGACTCTACATTTACAAGGATCTCAAACATGAATACATGTTAGAGACGAGCCCTCTCAACCTTTGGAAAGCTCTTAAAGAGCGTTATGATCAGCAAAAGGAACTCATTTGGCCTGAGGCTAATTATGAGTGGGTACATTTATGCCTACAGGACTTTAAAACTGTGGCAGAATACAACCATGATGTTCATAACATTTGCTCCAGGTTGAGTTTTATGAACAAGAGTCAATGGAAGCAGAGAAGATAGAGAAAACTCTATCAACTATGCTTCCGGAGGACAGGATACTGACTCAACAGTATCGCGCTAACAATTTCCAGAAACATTCTCTGCTTATACATACATTGACTCAGGCAGAAAGACACCATGAGCTTTCTTTAAAGAATGCCCAACAGCACCCACCGGGCTCTGCTCCACTGCCTGAGGTGCACTTCAATGTACAGAATAATGCTGAGAATAAGAAAGGATTCCAGGGAAATTCTTCGAATAATCCTAAGAATCTGACTGGAAAGCGCAAACGCAACAATAACAGGCACAAATTCAAGGGTCGAAAGAAAGGAAAAGGGAAGGGTAAGGCACCACAACCTCGTAGCAATGGCAACAAGCATTGTAACAGGTGTGGATCTAACACTCATGTCGCTAAAGATTGCCGCATCCTGAAACATCTTGTTCTCTTGTACCAAAAACCCCTCAAGGAAAAAAAATCTTCTGAGAACCCAAGATTTGAAGCCCACTTCAATCTTACACATGAAGAGCGCCCTGAGGTTGCAAGTTCTCACTAGGCTCCTGTTGAATCAGAGAGCAACCTCAATGTTCTCCCAAAAGATGTCGCTCCACTCTCTACGATGGACGATATGTTCATCGAATACTGCTCAACGGACCCACTTGGAGATTTGCAATGATCTCGGTGCGTCCCACTTGGAGATGAAGCTGCTCTTATCTCAGTGTGCTTGAAACAGTATATTGATATCCTATAAGTTTGCCAAACAATATTGGTTGTAATAAGTATATAAGTACAAACTCCCTTATATTGTAAGGTTGTATGGCTTGCTAGTCATTAGAGTATGTATTTTTAACATATGTAAACGTCATACTATATATTTGATGTTTTAATTATTGTATGTATGTATATATATTGGATAAAGAATTCTTAATCAAGTAATTCTTCTTTCATTATAGATGTCTAAGGATATCGCTCCGATTGGA